CCCCACTAAAAAACAAAGGTGCAAGCACTGCCCCTGGTAAATTCTGATTTGTTTGCCCCATTAAGTTTTAGCATTAGGATTTGTGCTCCAATATTTCTTCCATATTTTTTTTTTGTCTTATTGTAAGGTTGCATGTTATATTCTTTTGGAAGTTTTGGTTGGAAACACTTGAATGACCTCCATCTGAAAACCATATTAGATATATTCTAGGGACTTTTTTATATATATATATGTAAAGTTTTAGAATATCTTATGTGATCTGAATATATCAATGTATTGAGAGGAATATTTGCATGTTGTGGTTTTTTTTCCTGTTATGAGTAAAAACAAGTACTAACAAGACCTCAAACTCTAATGTATGTATTCAATGATTGTCAATTGTCCAATCTCTCTAAGCATAACACTCAAGCCAAAAAGTGCAAGTTTTGTTCACACCTCATTTGAAAGCAAAAGCTTTGGGGTTTTTTTAGTCACATAAATCTTCTTTTTGCATTTGTCCTGGGGTAAGGGAGCACAGGCAATGTGACAGGGCTAAGTAGAATTCACCAAGTGGAGGTGAATGAAGGAACAGCCTCTCAGGGAGAATGTTACTCAGGCACAGAATGAGAGTTAACTGAGACCCTCTCTCATCTACCACTCCAGTGAGTCAGGGTGGTCTCACCTGCAGTGCAAATACAACATTCAACTCTGACCTGTCTCAGTGTCAGGCTCTGGGCAGGGGGTTAGGACCAACACATGACACTTTGTGCTCTCATCATTTTGGGTATCTCTGTAATGATGTTTCCCCATAGTCTCTTTTATTGTGAGTTTTTATAGCTAGATGTCAGCACAGACTGGCAGTCAAATCAGTCCACATTATCACCATATAGCTTTCCAGCCCATCCAGGTATTGTTCTCCTGTCACTTGCACATCCAGAGCTCATACATACTGAGACTCCTCACACAATTCTTGGTTGCACTGGCTGGTCAGACATGGTTTGTTATATCCAGTTACTCTAAACTCCTGATCAAGGCAAAAATCTTGACACTCCTATGACATTCCACCTCTCAGCCTTTCTGCCATCTGTCAACGATCTTTCATACATACACTCATACTTACAAACAGTGACACACAAGCTTGTGTTAAGTGTATTCACTTGTTGCACACTAAATTACAATAGAAGAATATGGCACAAGCAGTAAGTCAGTGAGCATTGGGTCCTAATAGTATTAACATTTACAAAAGCAGTTTTTTTTGTTAATCATCTTATTCTCAAGGAAGTTTCCAGACCACCCACATACAACTCAAACTTCATATGCTTTTGCCAGACACTACAGCTTGATCTAATGTGGATGCTATAGATCAGAATGCAGCAGCAGATGCCCTGTGCCCACCAGCCCAAGGCACATTGCATTTATGGACCCCTGAAGTGCCATGCTGTTGAAACACCTCCTACTTATCCTAGCACTGCCCAATAAGGCTGGCCTGCATCCTCCACCACAAGGGGCAGGCCTTGTCAGGGGAAAGCTTTACTCATACATATAGTTACAGTTAACAGACCTGTCCCAGTTACCATTATCAACCAAATCAATCCACAGTGATACCACTGTACAGCCTTCCAGTTTCAGGTGTTGGTGTCCTGTTGCTTGTGATCCACAGTCCATAGTAAGGCTTGTCATACTCCACTGTTCTGTCAGTGCTGCTCTGTCAGCCAAAACTTACTATACCAAGTTATTCAACTTTTGATCAAGACAAGATCTTGATCCTCCGACATCATTTAAAATTGAATATGGATGATGGTTTCCAATGACATTGTTGATGCAAGTGGCTTTGTTTGTAATTTTTTCAGATTAGACTACAACTTCCAAACCATCAGTAATCTAAATATTTTTTATTTTAGATAGGAATAAAATTGAACACTAATCTCTGTCCAGTTCTAGCCTGTAAGAGCACGTGACTGAAATAAGGCCCAGTATGAGCTGGTATGCATCTGTAGGTCTGGACATTTCTCCTATTTAGTCTTCTCTCCAAGAAAGCTTTGGGCTGTGCTCTAGAAGTGAAGTTAATTGTTGTCTCTCATCTTCAGGCAGTGATTATGTAGTTCATTCTTTCAGGGTCGATCTTTCTTCTGTGTTCACATACCCTTACCCTGCAGCCTTAAGTAGTGTCAATGCAAGACAGACAAAAATCAATTGCTAGTTCATTTCTCTGTGTTTTCTGCTTTGCTATTTCAGCCATGCAGAGGCACTCATCTAATGAGTAAAGAATTATTATAGCCCATATTTTGTTCATTAGAACAATCTTACTATTTCCTTCCACCAAAGAAGAAAAACCCAAAGTCACAGTACACATATGCTATGCCTTTGCTGGCAGGAGAGAGACAGTGTGCAAGCTACATAGCTGACAGCTCTAGGCAACAGTAGAAGCTCATTAAGACCCCAGAGGCCTGCAGGAGGGCAGGATAAAACTATCTTCAGTATTCTGCATTGAAAGGGTACTCCTTGTGATTTTTGCACCTGAAGGAAATGAAACAGGAATGATTACTTTCAAAGCTGAAATAAATGCTATATAGAACTACACTGGCTGTACAGAGGAGCCTTCAAGGGAGGCTCTGAATTGTGTAGCTGCAGATGAATTTAAGAGACTTCTTGTGTAGAAATCGCACACATGACCAACAAGATCAAGTATTTCCCGATCATTCAGGCACTGAGTAGTGGTGGGACCAAGTTATTTTCTAGATAAAAGAGTTAAAGTTCACAGTGCTTACAGAAAGAACAATAGTTTCTGTGGCCTTTCAGCCAAGGCTTCCTGTCTGGCTATAGGCTTCCAAGGCACACATTTGCAAGCAGTTTTTCTTCATATTGCACTTCAGATGGTCATTCCCTCCCCCAACTGCCTATGTAAGAACTGACATCAGTTTAAACTTACAACTCACAGAAAAAAATTACCATTATAAAACTGCCTAATGATCATTTCTCCAATATGGACATAGCCAACTAGAACCCTCCTTTTGGAATTCCAGGCACACAAAGTTTCCTGGAGAAAGGATTCACAACGAGTGTGTACTATGACTTGTACGCATCCTTTAGTCAATGAAGTGAAAACAACTCCACTAAGATGCTAATTAAGCACTTGTTACTTAACTTCTCAAGCATTTTAGTTAGCAACCCCAAGTTATTTCAGATTTCAAAATATACCCAATTTAAACAGCTAGACTAGTACCTGAGAGATCAGAATAAAGATTATTGAAAAGGTAAGAGTTTGAAAGAAACAAGCTGTCACTTACATGATCATTTCACAGATCCTCCAGTTTCTGTTTAAGCCGAGAAGGGTTGCCATCTCCTCTTTAGTCAAATCAAAATCGAACACCTAAAAAGAGAAACAGCTGGAAATCATCTCTTTGAACAAATCAAATCAGAAGCAAGATTCACAAGATTAAAGAACAAGTTCACATCAAAAAGGGTGCTGGTTAGACATGATGGCTTCATGAGACAGGGAAAGGAACAGTCTCTTTGGATTTTCAAGACCCTACTGGCAAGAGGGAAGAAAAACAAAAAAGATTGCCAGTTGCAGTTACATGGACCAGCTGTTCCAAGCTGTTTGGTGAGCACTTTGGTGTTGTAGAATGCCTCTATTTGTGGAAGACACATTTCTTCCTAATTCCAGAGAAACACCTGAAAGACTTTCATATTTCAATAAATCCAGCTATCTTACTTCTGAAATCTTGATGTCCAACATCAAGAAAAAACCCATTACTTAACAGTCAGAGGAGCAACGTGGTTTACTGACACCAGGGCTCTTCCCTTAACATTGGTTACTCTGTATTTAGAGGAACGTTACTGCACTTGGGCTCCAAACAAGCCCTCCCAGCCACTTCATCCACAAGTCACAGAAGACACTATGTAAGGTGACTGATAAAGTTATCAGCACACCATTTCCAAGAGCCCTGTCTATCTGTTCTACAGCTGTAGTTTTCATTGTAACCATAACTTCCAGACAGAGAGGAAGAGCCCAGTCCTCTTGCCTGAGGCAGCAAGGCACGCCATCCCTGAAGGGCACTACCCAGGTCACTCGTACTCACTCACCTTGAAGTTCTCCACAATGCGCTGCGGCGTGACAGACTTGGGAATCGCAATCACGTTTCTCTGGATCTGGAAGCGAAGGAGAACCTGCAGGAACAGACCACAGAATCAGAGAGAGGATGGCTCCTGCTCTGGAGGAAGCAGAGCCTGTTCCAACAGTGTTTTCCCTAAGCTACACCCACTCTGGCAGAGCTGCATTTCAAGTAATTTCTGTCCCTGTAGCCCAGGTAGCGCTTCCTGAAGAGCAAAGAGGGAAGGGATGGGGCCTCACACAGAAGACCTCCTTTCTGATTCAGTTTTGGGATGGTCAATTCCTTTTCTTCCCACCTGCACTTTCAGCAGTCTATACAAGGCTTTCATTCTCTGCAGGAGGACTTGAGAGGGGAAGCAGTATCTGAAGATGGGTCAAGAATCTTTTCCTGGCTGAGGGCCAAACAGCTTCAAGTATATATTGCAGGTCACATAATAAACAACCTGCATTGCTACTTAACACCACAAAAAGAGCACCGCAGTTCAGAGGGAACACTGATAGAGGCTGTACTCTCTCATCAGGCATAGTTTCCTTAATGTCTGTGTTACAGGAATAAGTATCTACTGTACTGCACCTACCTACCTGTGCTGGGGTTTTGTTGTGCTTGGCTGCAATCTCTTTGATCTTGGGGTCATCCAGAAGGGAAGGCTCCTCTGGCTTAGCTCTGCACAGAGATAAAAAGGAAGAAATGGCAAAAAAAATCTCTGCAGAAAGATTCTACCTAGTATGAGTGTATATATAAAAGTGTAAGTGTGCACACACACCTGCACCATTACTCATTCAATTAGTCTGAATGCTTCACACAAACCACACTAACCCACTTGGAAATTACCTGTCAGGGCGCCCAAGGGGACAATATGCTGTCACAGTGATCCCTTTGGATTGGCAATAGTTGATAAGCTTTTCCTGGGAAAGGTATGGATGACACTCGATCTGCCAACACATGAGTAGAGACTCTGTAGAACTACTATAGTGTTCCCAAGCTCCAGAGATTTTTCCTGAATCTTTATTTTCTAATTACAGGCTGCCATAATCCTACTCTGCATGTGGTCTGTGTGACATTACAAGACTATAATTCTATAGGGCACCAACTTTTATATTGAATTCTTATGAGTTTTTTGGAGAGGCTTTATAAAAGGCATTGATTACAGTCAGAGTGATATCTTGTGTCTGGATTCTTTATTCCTCCAGAGAGAATGCTTCACAGAGAAATACTCCAGAACTTGTAAGCAGTGGTTCAACAAGGTGAGACAAAAGGAAATACTCTGGTCCTTTTTGTACCAAGATACAGCCACAGAGTGGGATTTAGAATACATTCTGTGTCTACATTGTTCTCACTTGTTCCATCTCCTCATTCAGCTGTAATCAGATCTTTATAATCTCTGGAAACTATTCACCTGCAGTCACTTAACAGCTTACCTGGTTATTTGCAGGCTTGTGCTTTAGCCCTGGCTTGTTCAGGATTCTTTCAGTCTGCTCACGGTTGAAGTTGGAGATTCCAATGGCTTTTACCAGACCAGCATCCACCAGCTCTTCCATGGCCTAACAGAAAGAGGAGCAAAGTCAGCATCTGGTGTACGGGAAGAATGTAGTCAGGGCCTGTCTTGATGTGGCTTGTTTCCCTTCATGGAAAGCACAAAATAACTGTTTGGACTTGCCAGATTTTTGATTCTCAAGGCAAAAAGTGGGTACTGGTAGTATCTGTGCCATGTCTTGTATCACACCAAAGCCCAAGATCATTGTTAAGACTGTGAAATTCACAGAGTTACACAAGGAAAAGATGACTAACTCTACTATTGTCACAGCACTGGAGGGCTATGCCCTAGGAGGATGGCAGGATCACAACTTAAGTGTCTATTCCTGCAAAATCTGTTTGAGCAGTTCTAAGAACTGCAGTGAAGAGGAACTGTACAGTCAACTAAGTAACTTTTTCTAACCTCAGTCTGGTTTGCAGCTCCACTGAAAGTGACTGTGCAGCTCAGTGACTTGAGATGTTAATCCACCGTGAATAGGAGTAACAGCTTGACTAAGCATACATGTTTTTAAAAGCTACCACGTATTTTTGGGAATTCTTCCCAACTAATTCTGCATACATGCATGAGCCATTCTGTGACTGCTGAAGCTAACACCACTGCTGAGGACAGAAGACATGATTCTCCCACTGTGGCTGAACTTACCTCCCATGTATGTAGAATATCTGTGTTGCTGGGTATTGACATGCCTTTGTCATCTGTGGGAAACAGCTCCTCTCCTGCCTGTCAGAAACAGAGAAAATGCTTGAGAATTTCTTGAGATGTTTGCTTAATACCATGATAGCTTAAATTTCTAGTGCAGGCAAGAACACTAATTCTGGTCTACATACAGTCATTCCTTCCTAAAGAGCAAGAGGAACTGAAGGCATTTTTGCTAGTGGTGACCATTCCCATAAAGACAGGTTTTTCTGCTAGACCCCTTGAAGTGATGACTAACCCAAACACCTACAGGGAAACAAACCACTCAAAACTATAGCCTCCAGTCTCATACATGTTTACTTAATGTATTATTCTTTTGTGCTCACTTAGGAAGAACTGTTTTGTTCTTTTTCCACAAGGGCATCAGGGGACCTAGTTAGGTACTGGGGACAGCTTTGGTCTATACAACACCAGATCTGCTGAAAAGCTGTATTACGTGCAGTGACAGGTCTTCCACAATAAAGCTCAGTATAAAGCTGCTAACATTAGGAAAATTAGAAGAGCCTTTGTGTACAAGTTATGAAAAGACACCAAGACTGAACTGTGTTTAATGGCTGTTTGCTACTGTTGCCATGAGACAGTTTCATTTTCATGGCTTTCTTAACATAAAGCTAAAATAAGAGTATGAAATAAAGGTGACTGTCTCAAAAGCAACAGGTAGGATGGAGGCTGACCAGACTGTAGTAGGAATGGAAGGCCAAGACTAGAAATAGTCAAGCCAAGACATTAGCTCCTTCCCTAATCTGTGAAAAAGTTTAGGCCACCAAGAAGTTTCACCTTTTCAATTCCTGTCTCAGTGGAAAAACACTAAGAACCCTACAGGCAAGGTCATCTCAACCCAGACTGTATTAAGGACTTGGTGATTAGAGAGAGAAATGGAAAACAGAAATATTTTTTTGGTCTGCGATTCTGTAACACAGATGAAAGTGTCTGACAGGCAGCAAAGTGCAGTCCTCCTTCCTGAAGTGGGTAATTCAGATCAGCATACAGTGATTTGTAAGAGAAAGGGAGAACAGCCTATCTTATGCTTGCAGCTGGGAGACCTGCCCCTGGTTTTCAGACCATCATTCGCAGGATCAAAGGGGTATGTGAGCAGCAGTCTCGGAGGTAGGAATCTGAGTAAAAGCTGAACACCAAAACAGTGCTGGTACATGCAACAGACAGGACGGTCTCTCTCAGCCAGAGCAACTGTTGGGCTGTAAAGCCCAACAAAAAAAGCTCCCCAAAAGCCAGTTACAAGAAACAAATCCAATCATAGAATCATTAAGGTTGGAAAAGACCTCTAAGATCAAGTCCAACTGTCAACCCAACACCACCATGCCCACTAAACCATGCCCCGAAAAGCCACATGTACACTTTTTTTGAACACTTCCAGTGACGGTGACACCACCACTTCCCCAGGCAGCCTGTTCCAATGCTTGACCACTCTTTCAGTAAAGAGCTTTTTCTTAATATCCAACTGAAACTTCCCCTGGCACAACTTGAGGCCATTTCCTCTCGTTCTATCACTAGTTACTTGGGAGAAGAGACCAACACCCACCTCACCACAACCCCCTTTCAGGTAGTTGTAGAGAGCGATAATGTCTCCCCTCAGCCTCCTCTTCTCCAGACTGAACAACCCCAGTTCCCTCAGCTGCTCCTCATAAGACTTGTTCTCCAGACCCCTCACCAGCCAACCCAGGGCGTTGCCATTACTTTACCTTCAAACCAAAAGGCCAGTGCATGAGGTAGAGATCCAGATAATCCAGTTTCAGGTCGGCAAGAGTCTTCTGGCAAGCTCCCTTCACCAGAAGCTTGTCATGAAATGTGCACCATAGCTAGAGGAAAAAAAAACAAGACACACTAGACCTCCTGGGTTAAAGCTCTCGGGTGCTCTCCTGCATGGGTCAGAAATGCTCCATCTTCTATGGAAGGCGATGTGGAATTATGCCATCCTAGTGCTCCTCAGAAGGGACTTGCCCTGGGAGCAGGACTGGCCTGTAACACTGAATTCAGTATGTGCAG